AAACCAAGTGGTGGCCATCTTCACCACAGAGCAGGCACCAGAGTCCAAAATCCAGGTCTTCCAGTCAAGAGCTGCATCCTGGATAATGACCCCATGAGCTGCTAACTACAGCCCAGGTTAACTCTGGAAGAATGGGATTTCTTCCCTTTTCTTTGTGGCCAAGCTTTGGGTAATTTTTTTTTTAAAGATTCACTCATTTTTACTTTATGTGTATGAGTGTTTGCCTGTGTGTATACAGCACACGGGTGTGGTACCTATGGAGGCCAGAAGAGGACATCAGATCCCCCAGAACTGGAGTTACGGATAGTGTGAGCCCTTATGCGGGGGCTGGGAGTCAAACCTGGAGCCTTCAAAGATTTTACTCTCTGAGCCATCTCTTCAGCCTTGACCCCAGATTCTTCTAATTTTTTAAAAGTTGTTTTATTTTTTTATTTTATACGTGTGGGTGTTTTGCCTGCATGTGAGTGTGTGCCCGGTGCCCGCAGAGGCCGGAGAAGGTGTGGGATCCCCGGGACGGCAAGCTACCATGTGGGTGCTGGGACTGGAACGTGGGTCTAGCAGAACAGTCATTGCTATTAATGGGTGGGCCATCTCTCTACCCACCAGCCAAGTCTCTTAGGACGTTATGACCATTGAAGGCGAGCTTCCATTGACACGTGTGTACTCTGAGAATTAGCTTCCCTGAGATAGAAAACAGAATGCGGGCCACCAGGGAACTGGAGAGATCCAGGGTCGGAGTTCTTGTTTCACGGGCATCAAGTTTCAGCTCTTCAAGAAGACGGGAGTCCTTGGGTGGATTGTTGATGCCCTCGCGTGTGCGCACACATAAGCTGCTGAGCTGTCCACCTGAAAATAACTGGCATGGAGAGTTAACTGTTCGAGGCATTCTGTCACAACTAATAGGATTTTTTTAAATGAAGTGAGTGACAGGCATATGAAAGTTATTTTGTTCTTCACTTTTCTGAGAGTCCACTTAATAGTCCTCTTTTTGTGAGCTCACTCATGTTGTTTATAAAAGCATATGTGGAGTTGTAAAAATTGAGTTCTTAAAGTCCTTTCCTCTGTGACCTTTGTTCTTCTCACTTACTGAGGAATCACCAATGATGGCTGGTCCACCCCTCTGTAGTTCCAGAGGGGAATTTGGGCTGTCCTGGGGTTGTTTTTGTTTTTGGAGAATTCTTTTCCTGACAATACAGGCTCTGTTTTAATACAATTACTTTTATGCATGAGGGCAAGGATGAAGCCAGGGTTTGAGAAAGGATGGCAAGAAAGCAAGGGGATGAAAGGATGCCAAAGCTGTCCACTGGAGAACTAGCCTGGGCTCTGTGGCTGCTTGAAAATGTTGGTGTAAGAGTGAGATTCTCTGAGATGGGGAGCAGAGTCTCCCAGAAGCCTTTTCAGCAGTGGGGGTAGCACAGAGGAGCTGAGAGGGCAGAGCGCTGGAAGAGGCTGTGGTTGAGACAGGCACACTGTTTGTCCCCAGCTCAGTGGCAGCCGTGGTCTAAAGCTCGCAGTCACTACAGAGACCGCTGACTGAAATCCTGTGCTCAAGAACTGAGTTGAAGTAGGTGAGGTCTGTCCACAGGGAGGCCTTGTATTGTATAGGGAAGGGAATGGTTCTGTGGGGGTGCTCTGTGTTTAGGGTCCTTGAGGAGGAGGAGATAGAAAAGAGGAAAGAGCCTCCAATTACATCATCACCACTCTAGCCTTAGGCTCAGCTTCACCGTGTGTGTCATAGATTCCTGCCCCTTTAGACACTGTTTGTCTAATCATCTAAACCACTGTAAATAATGCTACAGTTTTGGATAACCTGGCTTGGCTTTGAGCTTCAGAGAAAAGCCACATCAAATCGCAGCAGGGCACAGTTTGTCATCTCTCAACTGCGTTGCAAAATCATTTTGTAAGGCTGTGCTAAGTTCGTGAAATTACAGTTTAATTAAAGACAGCATGTGTCAATTTCACAAAACCATGTTAGGCAGACAGAGGAACCCACACAGAGGCACCCTGAGGAAGCAGTGAGCGTCAGCAGAAAGGACTGTTGAAGAACTTTGTATTAGCTTTGAGATGGTCCTTGTGGTATGCGTTAGCATGAAGGTCACCTGAGTCTTCTCATGAAGAACCTGTGATTTTTATTCCCAGCCCACATGACCGGATGGAGAGCAAAGGGGACACTGAATCTGAGCACATTGTTTGCCACATCTCAGAGCTATGAGAAATAGCTTGAAAGGAACAAGTGAGTCATCAGATCTGCTGATGACTCCCAGGAGTAAAATTGGTGGGCACTTGCCAAGTATGAGGCAGGATTTCAGCTTAATGGTACTGAATTATTCCCTGTGTTATGTGAGACACTGTGCTGGCAGGCTCCTGAAGAACGAATCCGAAAGAGTACAGATAAAGACTCCTGGCCACAGTGCTCTGTCGTCTTGAAGGTACACCCATGAAATGACTGAAGAGGACTTTCAGCAATGAGGCCTACTCCCCCAGGTTGTTTCTGCTATAAGCATTTATGGCTTGACCTAGGCTAGTTCTTGAGCTCCCAACAAGACTGTGTAGGTAAAAAGGAAGCCAGTGAGAACCATGGCTGCAGGAAAACTTCCCAGCAGTTACAGGAGGAAGAAGCTGTCCTGGGAATATAGTCATAGTGTCATTTATGGGACAGCTAGTTTCCAGCAGGGGGTCTCTGGCCATCATCTTACATTATAATTTTCAAGAAGTAAATCAGAGCTGTGGAATATTGGTCTAAACCAGGACCAGGATTCCAGGTGGAAGGCACATGTGTGGTTTCTGTATTGTCTTGACTCTTGAGAGTTCTAACTGATGGCAGCTTAGTCGTGAGCTTTCTTGTTAACACTGCTTCATTAGACTGGGGGTCCCAGCCTCTTCCCACTCTAACCCCTTAACACCTGTGAACTTTTTATGCTAGTCTGGGTAGCTAAAGATTTAAGTATATAAACTAAACATCTGCTGATAATAAATCATAAAACAATTCTTTGCTATACATATGTTTTTATGTTTTAAGGTCTAAAGTGGATTTGTATACTGTAAGATAATGCTTCTTTATTTTTACATAAAGAATTGAATATTGTCTGGATAGTGGAGCTACAGGACAAAGAGTGTCTTCAGGGTTTTCCTGACGCCATCAATATTTTGATTTTGTAATCATTGCTGAGAGTACCACGTTGCATAAACACACACACAAAATAGCATAAGTGTGTTTGAATCCATTTCAGAAATTATTAAAGAATTCTGCCCTAATCTCAAGCCAAAATTCATTTAATGGTTACTTTTTGTAAAGCTCAAGTCAGCAACTGAGTCAGGAATTTTTAAAAATCAAACTCTCTCAAACAGTTTGAGCCAAAGATGCTGATTTGATACAAACTGAGCAATGACAGTGGGAAAATGTCTTTGTTTTCCATTATTAAATCATTATGTTTCTAAAGAGCAGGAAATATTGCATGTTCAGTAAAAACACAACAAGGAAAACCCTGGGATTTGAAACACACAGTAGCTGTGAACCCAAGAGGAGCTGCGCCACGCAATGTGCATTTGTTCCTCGGGGCGCTGACGTGCACAGGGCGAAGGGCAGGTGTTTATGCTTTGTTCAGACTCAAGGCTGCAGGGAAGCCTGACAGGAGGGTGACCACACATCATATTCACACACATTTGAATTTGAATTCATTTTTGTCCTTACTTGTTTAGAAGTGTGTTGGGGAGGGGAGGGGTGTTGAGACAGGTTTCTCTGTGTAGCCCTGGCTGGAGTACAACTCTCCATGTAGACTAGGCTGGCTTCGAACTCAGAGATTCACCTGCCTCTGCCTCCTGAGTGCTGGGATCAAAGGTGTGTGCCACTGTGCCCCACACGTTTAGAAAAGTTTTACTGTTTCATTTCTAATTTCCTTTTGCAGCCCTGCCTTCAGTTTCATGACCTCACCCAGTCTAAGAGCCTGTATGTTAGACTATTAAGGAATAGTGGGAACCAGTCTGAATAACTCTGTGCTCTTGCAAATACTTGAGAGAGTAATTTAGTGACTGAGCTCACTTTCCTCACTTCTCTATAAGAAGGGTCAGGAAGGACTCCAGATGCCCTGTGGAGGTGGCCTTGCTCCATTCAGCAGTCACCTGACCTTGGGAGACAGAGCCCAGGTGGAGAGGCCGAGCTCTAGCTGTCACTGTCCCCGGCATCTGGCAGTAGGTACTCTTTATCAGGCAGCTGCTCTAGGCTTTCTTTGTGGACACGCTGTGGCCTGCCTGAGTTTGTCTGAACATGCAGATTAGGCCCAGGTGCCTGCTTTCTGTACCATCTCTGTCACCCACAGCTGTGTGGTTTGGAAAGGGATGCCAAAATCCAGACCCAACAATGCGTCCTCATTTGCATGTCCTGAGATCTCGAATGAGGTCTGGATTATGTTGGACCTGCCCCCTCCCTTTCCTCCCTTCCTGCCCGTTTTCATTCCCCATACATAACATACACACAGTTGGTGTCTTCTATTTACTGCATAAAGAGATATCTCAAGCCCTGACTGCTTTGTAGCTTTGGGGAGGTATTTCCAAAGTGAAAAAAACAAAACAAAACAAAAAAAAAGTCACTGGAAATTGCAGCTGTCACTGTTGCTATAGTAGGAGTTTATTACTCAGTGATCTTGGCCCGAATCAGGTAGCTGTGTGGGCAAGCAGTGGACACCTTTCCTGATGGCACTGCCAGGGACACCGTGGCTAGCGCACGAGACAGGCCGAATGCAGCATATCTTTCCATCACAGACTGACTGTTTGCCGCTGAGACCATTAAAACCCAGCCAGTGGATTTTCCTTGTATGAGATATTGCATAGCTCCTAGGGGAGGGGAGCAGGAGAAAAGGCAGAGCCCAATAACAAATAGCTCTTTGTGCCAGTTCCCCCTTCTCCCCAAACCGTTGAGAGCACAGGGAGCCACCAGCGTCGGGCAGAAGGCAGAGGCTGTCGGAGACTTGGCAATGACCACTTTTAAACTTGTGTTTCCACAGTGTGCGGCTGCGACCTGGCCCAGGGAGGCTTCTTCATAAAGAGCGGGGACTATCTGTGCACTCTGGACTACCAGAGGATGTTCGGGACCCGGTGCCACGGCTGTGGGGAGTTCGTGGAGGGCGAGGTGGTCACAGCCCTGGGCAAGACCTACCATCCCAGCTGCTTTGCCTGTACCATCTGCAAGTAAGTGGCCATCTTCTCAACCTCCGGCTCTGCCACAGAGGCAGTTAACTATTTTGCCTAGAAGGATTCAACTCATTTGCAAGTGCAGAGGATTACGTGGTTATAATTCATATGGCCTCTCCTAACTGGCCACTGAAGTATTTTCCTGTAGTCCTTGCACTCAGAAACAGAGGCAGGAGGATTGCTTGAGACTGGGCAAGCAAGACCTGCCCAGCTAATACAGAAGAGCCACCTGTTTCTACAGATGAAATGCTGTCTTTACCATAGTGTGTGATGGATGGCAATGGCTCATGGGTCAAATCATTAGTCCTTAGGTCTCGTTTGTTTGTTTGAAACAGGGTCTCACTATATAGCCTTGGCTGTAGTAACAAAGGCTTTTGTATTACCTGTTCTGGCTCCCAAATAATGACACAGAGACCTATTAGATTTATCATCAGCTTTAAAGCACTACAGCTGGGCAGATATTGATCTATTTCAACCCATCTACAGTGGCTCCTTCTGCCATGTGCCCCATGTTACCTGCCATCTTAGTCTTGCCTTGGCTGGTTCTGCTCCATCTGTCTGTCCTCATGGTGCTGCCTCCTCTCTTTCTCTGGTGCCTACCTGAGACCCCCTAACTGGAATCGGAAGTCCTAGTTCCTGTCCTCACCTCCCAGCTACAGGACGATCAGCTCTTTATTAACCAATCAGAGATGATGGAGAACAACTTTTACACAACACTGAACAGAAGAGTCTTTACCCAGATCTCAGGGCATATGAATCAGCATCTGAATACAGAGTGCACAGGACCACCCCCCCCCCCCCCCCCCCCCCGGCTGTCTGGAACAGGCTAACTCTGAACTCACAGCCACCGCCCTGCCTCTGCCTCTGCCTCTCAAGTGCTGGGGTTGGAGGCATGTGCTGATATGCCTGACCTTATGGTTTTCTTTTAAATAAAGTTTTATTAGCTGTGCGTTTGTATAGGGGCTAGGACTGCTGTCTGGTGCAGTGGCAGGACTAAGGAATTATCAAAGAGAACAGTCTACAAAGCTTAGCTATTGATGTTTTACAGAAAACTTTGCCAACTCCTGATCGCTAGGTATCTGTCTAACACAGCCTAATGAAAATGGGTATTCTGAGGGTCAGAAACTGGCACGGGAGGGGGATTGCTGTTGTGTTTTGGGAGCCACACTGCCTTATAAAAGGTAGCTGAGTTTGACTTGGGCGGCACTCAGAGTCTGGCTGGTACCACAGAGGACCTGTGCAGGTCTACAGTTAAGCTCTGAGTGGAAATGGGCTTCCGACTCATTCAGGGTGAGCTACATCCTGACAGACCACACACAATGGTGCATCTGTCACCAAAGCTCAGCAGAGCAGGGCAGGGAGCACCTGTGCCTGCCTCACTCGGGCTGGGCTTCTTCATGTGTTCACAGGCCCTTCCGGCTCTGACACTCTCCTCTGACATAGACTGGGGCCTTGTTCAGGTATAGCAAGTGAATATGAAGCAAGGGGCAGGCCCAGTTGCAGCACCAGAGGGTAGTTTTAATTATTATCACAGTTCTGAGGCAGGTAGATGAAGCCTGTCCCTGCCTGTGGCCAATGAAAAATTACAATGCCATTTCAGAGAGGAAGCTGTTGATCTCCCGGGGACTTTTGCTTTCAAGTGTCACACCTGATGAGTGACTGGTACGTTGGTGGGTGGGACCAAGTCCAGGTGTATGCATGGTGTTGTGGTTAAAGACCAGTGCTAGGCCATGGAGAGCTGTGTTAAGGGGCTGTGACAGTACAGATACAGCTCAGGAGGCTTGGACTTGCTCAGACTGACGGCCTCTGACTCATTCACGTTGCCGTCTGGTGAGTTCCACTTTAGAAAACTCATGTTGATGAAAATCATTGGTAAATTGGCTCGGTGAAAACAGCAGGCATAGGAACTAGCATGCCAGCAGACCATGCACTTTGGTGCCGCCTGTTGCTGCTGCTGAAAGTCCAGCAGGAAAGGAACTTGTTTTTCTAACCTTAACATTTACCTTATGTGTATAAATGCACATGTGAATTACATGCCTGCATGTAACTTTAGTGTGTGCACGTCTGGTGCCTGTGGAGGTCAGAAGAGGGCATTGGATCCCCTAGAACTGGACTTATACATGGCAGTGGGCAGCCATGTTGGTGCTGGACCTGGGTCTCCTGAAAGAACAGGTGCCAGCACTGAGCAATCGACAGCCCCTGCTGCTGGTTCTCAAACAGATGTTTATAGCAGCTTGTCCTGATGAGGATCCGGATTCCCCAGAGCTCTGCAAATTCAAATGTCCGGAAAGGACAAAGTCTGTCGCGGCATAGTTACCACAGAACACAGGACAGGCAAAATGGTTCCCACTCCCCCGTAAGCTGTTCTCTAGGGGTGCACCCTGGGCTTTGGTGGGAATCCATGGCACTTAAAGTGAGGCTTCCTTTTTTTAGTGAAGAATTTCCCTGTGCATGTCACTGCTCTGGGCCCTGAGGAGTGACTTGTCCAACCACCCCCTCCACTTCAGAATGGAGCTACATCATGCTACTTTCCAACCAGGCAGCCCATAGGCAATACATTCTCGTGTCTCTCATAATGAAGCACGTGTGTTTGTTTGGCCCGTGTCCAGCTGGCGGGCTTGGGCATGGCTGCATTTCAAACATTCTGGCTGGTGTTCCCACAAGAAATCAATTTGTACCGGAGGGCAGCAGGCAAAGGGTTGAGGGAAGCGAAGGGAATTTCTGGAATAACTCTGAGGGCAAATGTCTTTCTGTCTCCAGGCGCCCGTTCCCACCCGGAGACCGAGTCACCTTCAATGGGAGAGACTGCCTTTGTCAGCTCTGTGCACAGCCTATGTCTTCCAGCCCTAAAGAAGCCACCTGCTCCAGCAGTAAGTGTCCCGGCGACCACTGACAGAAACTCTCTAGTAGTTCAAAGGGAGTTCAGGAAGGTGCCTTGCTTTCGAGAAATCCTGTGGGCAAACACTAAGTCTACTCCTATCTGGAGCTTTTTTTCCCCCTATGGAAAAATATCATGCAGTGTTTATTAAAATCCAGACAGAGAGGAGCATTGTCATTGTACCAAAAAGACCCAAATGGAATTAGACAGCAAACTGTCCATTCTGAAAGCCAGCAAGGAAGATAAAAATATGAACCTTCACATTGAAAAGCCTTGCTTGTGACCACACCTCAGACAGTTAAAGGAGGAAGCCTTTGCTTGGCTCATAGTTCAGAGGGTACACTTCCTCACCGAAGGAAGGCATGGCTGAAGGAGCATGGTTTACAGTTTAGAGGGTAACTTCCTCACCAGAAGGAAGGCATGGCTAAAGGGATGTGGTTTTAGGTACTGACCAGGAAACAGGATAAGAAAGCCAGTGCTGGCTACTTTTTTTTTCCTTAAAGGTTATTTATTATCATTGTATGTATGTCGGGGGAAGCAGGGGACATAAGCACCATGGTCTACATGTGAAGGCCAGGAGACAGCATGCAGGAGGCCAGTCCCTCTTTCTGCCATGGGACCAGTGATCAAACCCAGGCATCAGGCTTGTTCAGCCAGTTCCTCACAGGCTGAGCCACCTGCAATCCCTTTTGGCTCCCTTTGATTGAGTTTGGGACCCTTTCCCAGACCTTGGGATGGTGTCTCTCAGATTCAGGGTGGGTCCTCCCGAAGTTACATCTTCCTGAAAACATCTTCTCAGAGCTATGCTGAGGACCATCTGGATCCTGGGCGGGTCCAGGCCAGTCAGATTGACAGGGACTGCCCTCTCCCTGCACATGGCTACAGAGGTTGTGATGGGGAACTTTGGAGACAGGCTATGTCACCTGAGGCTCTCTGTGTTAAAATCACTGTCTCCACTCATGGAAGATGCAGATGAGATACTGTCTACTCATCTACAAATCATTCTCTGCTCCTCTGGACGGGCTCTGACAGTTGCTCATTTGGTATTTACTAACTGCCCCAAATGAGCCTCATCCTTCAGACTGAAGACATAACCTTGAACAAAATGAGTTCTCTCATCCTCAGGAAGCTTGCCTTCCAGTGAAAGCACATAGCCAGATTCCCACAGAAAATACTTAATATGTGAAGAAAACCAGAGCCGAAGACAAGGTTTTCTTTCTGTGCTAATCAGAGAAGGGCCCTGTAGCTGACCCTATCAAGTGTGGGAAGACAGTATACATACATCATAGATTTGAAACTAAGGAGTGATGAGATTTCATCTGACCTATGGGAATCCAGGGGGATTCTCTCCCCCGCCCCCCATAACAGACTCTTTCTTTTGGTGAACATGCTGGGAATGACACTGGACAGATCAATTAATATTTATTACAAGTTGATATGTTCTGGGCTGGGAGCTGGGGAGTGAACTAGGGAGCTGAGGCATCAGGAGATGAGCCCAGAATTGGCCTGAGTGTGTATGGATTTTCAGCAGCCCTTGGGCCTGGAGTACAGAGCCCCCTCAAGCTCCCTGAGGCCCAGTTCCTCAGAGAGGATGAGCACTCTCTGTTCGGGACGAATTCTACAGTAATAGCAGTGGACTCGAGCCTTCCCACCTCTGTGGAAACCTTTCGTTTATTGCAAATAAGAGTGTTCTGACTGTTTGTATAGAGACTGGGTTTTGGGGAGGAAAGAAGGAAGTTCAGAATGCACACATGCCAGGGAGCTGAACAAGTGTGTTTCTGTGACCTGCCACTAGGGGGATCAGCCTGGTCAGGAGCTCAGTAGACAGCAAACCCTTACCTGGGCTGTGGTGAGTTTCGGATCTCACACTGCTTCACTACCCCACTTCAGTGCAGAGAAACACTGTTGGGAAAGCGAACCTGGCTGGGAATGATCACCATCTGCTAGCAGGGCTTAACTTGAAAATATGTTAGTAAAAGCCCTGGAGGGATTCTTGTGATGACAGCTGGGCCAGGCCTGAGGTAGAAGAGGCTGTGTTCCCATGATGCACTGGTAAGGACCCATAGGTCAACTCTCTGTTTCCATATGTAGGATGCTGAAGCTCAGGGGCACTCAAGCCCTCTGCTGACAGATGAGGGCAGATGCCAATCTTCTGATCCCTGATTTTTGTTTTTTTATTTCACTTTATCTAGTCCTCTTGATCATGTGGTTGACAGAAACAAACTCAAGTTCTTCTAAAGGGGCTTCCTGTTGCCTCAAGCTGTGCAGTTTAAGAACATGCTCCATTGTGTGGTCTAACAAATTGAGAATTCCATTTTTTATTATTTTATTTTATTTTTATTTTTTTGAGACAGATCTCATGTAGCCAAGGATGGTCATGAACTCACTACGTAGACAAGGATGATCTTGAATTTCTGATTTTCTTGCCTCCATTTTCCAAATACTGGAATTACAGGCATGGCCACATCTGACAGACTCTTTTTTCTTTCTTTTAAGGAAATACAATATTTTTATTAATTCTTTGAGAACTTTACAGGTACAAATATAGAAATTGTCATATTAACCTTTCCATTCCTTGTAACTCCACCTAGACCCTCCTAACTCCACTGCTGCTTCTATACCTGTACTGTCTCCTGGAGTGTGCTATACTCCACACGAAGGAAAGCGACTCTCCCTCTACCCGTAGCCAGTAGCTCTCAGCTAGGGGTGATGCCTTTTTAAAAGCCCCGCCCTTTCCATGCTGCAGTGTGTTGGCTGGCTGGAGCTCGTATAGGCCATGGGCAGGCAGTTTCCGCTCCGACAAGTTCATGAGTACAATATCCCATCATGTCCAGAGGACACTGTTTTGTCCTGATCTTCCCAGACCTCTGATCTGACAACCTTCTTCCTCCTGCTCATCCTCCTCCTCCCCCTTCTTCTTCTTCTTGGGAAGGAGCATGATATAGATGTCCCATTGATCACTCCACAGATATTTAATCTATGTCTCTTGACAAATTTGTGAGTTTTTGCTTTAACCGCTGTCTATGCACAGAGAGCCTTCTCTGATAAGGTCTGAGTGCTGCATCTCTGGGTATAGAGTTGCAGATTTAGAGGACAATCCTGGAGCCTGTGAGTTCCCAGGCATGAGCTCTCACCCAGGCATGCCTTTTCCCCTGTGGAGTAGGCCTTGAGTCCAGTCCCAAAGTACAATTGGTTACTTCCCCAACATTCATACCACTGTTGTGCTCACAGACATGTTGAGCCATGCTGGCGACTGTGGGAGCTTACAGCGTTCACAGCTGGGTAAGATTCCTGACAACTTCCCTCCCTTTTACAGTTCTGTGGAAGACACATCTAACGGATTCTAATTGTTATTCTTTTTTTATATACAAATATGAAAATATCACAGTGAAATTCATCATTTTGCACAATTAACAGATGCTAATATAAAATATTTGGATACATTTATGTCTTCTCTTTTTGTGTGACATTCATGTTATACCCATAAATCAAGTCTGAAAATATAAGCAGCCAAAAGCCATTGTCTTTTAATACTAGCTTTAACCATTATGGCTTATGTCTAAGCCATATTGAGCCAAATTTTATTTTCTCCCCTGCTCCCACTGAATGAAATCTCCTCTCATTGCAACTGCTTCATCCAAAACATTTTTTTTTATTTTTAGGAAGCTCTTACCTATTTAGACAAGTACCAGAAGACAGGAGCTTCATGTCACGTGGGTGTCATGAAGGAGAGTACTTATATCTAGAGATATCTCCAGTGTACGCAGCCCACGGACAACACGGAGCAGAGGGAATTTTCAGCAGCTTCCTGAATGCTGTTGGCACATAATTAGAAAACAGTTGGTTGCTATTTGTAGTTCTCTAAGAATTGCCTCGACTTCAAAACTATTCTGCTATGATAGACATTCCTATCTTTAAAAAAAAAAAATAAAAAGACTTTTTATACTTGGCAAGAGGCTTCCCACGAGGCAGAGCCTGCCTTTCTCTCAGTGAAACTCTGCCTTGAGAATGCTCGAGGCCTCTGTGAGCTACATCAGGGCACAAGGTCCTCTCTCAGCATCAGACTGGAGCTTCTGAGCCATGGCTGCATCACAGATTCTGTGGCTGGTTTTTTATAACCACCGAGTAGGAGGCAGAGACCACAGGAGACTGGCAGAGGCAAGGAAGGGGGAGAAGGAGCCTCCAAGGCAATAAAATTATCTGACATAGTCTGTTTCAGTGCCTTCTGAGTGAGAGGCAGCATTTCTGCCTGGCTGCCCTGTCTGTCCAGCCTATGTCGTGCTGACCACTGCGTCTGTGTGCGCGTGTGTTTGCAAGAAACGTGTGGACCTGTGCATGCAGAGGCCAGGGGGCAGCTTCAGCTGCCATTCCTTGGGTACTGTCCAACTTGTTCTTTGAGTGTCTCACTGGCCTGAGGTTACCAAGCAGCTGGGACTGTGAGTGCAGACCACCCCACCCAGCCTTTTGCTCGTGGATTCTGGGGAACCGGACTCTGGTCTTGATACTGAACAAACAAGCACTTTACCAACTGAACTATGACCTCAGCCCCTTCGGTGTTTCTTCCCACCTTAAAATACTTCTTACCCTTAGCTCTGATTCATTTTCTAAGCATTCACATGGAGCTTAGGGTATGACAGGCTTACCACTGTATTGCCCCAAATTAGTTACAAGTGGTGTGCCTGTCCTGGAATGGAAGTGATGGTACAAGGTACCGTTAGGGCTGTGGGAAGATTATAACTAAACTTTCCTCTAGTTGATTCTGCTTTTTAAAAGTGTGATGGACATAAGCTGAAGTCCTCTGTGCTTCACACCAGTCCATCCTTCTGCATCGACTAGAGGGAAAAGGACTGGATCCCATAGGTTACAGGGCTTGAGGGGCCTGCGTGTGGTACCCTGGATTCAGATGAGTGTTTCCTCTGCAGCTCCTGTCTGTTTCAGGCACTAAGTGGGGGTGGGCTGCTGTGGGCCCTCAGTCTTCCCACCTCAGGGGCT